TGCTTTGGAAGACAGTCGTAGTAGTAGAAAGCTTAGTTAATTGCTTTGAATACAATATTTGTAAAAAGGTCATTTTGAATGCTAATAACCACCCACACTACCTTGGCAAACACTTACTGTACCAACAAGGGAATACTGGGAATGTGTTTATATTGCATAGTTCAACGCAGAGAAGGAAATGAGCCTTGTTTTCAACGTGATACTGGAAACCTGGAATATGATCCACACAATACATCACGTCTGGATGGGGTTCATTCAACAGCTCATGTCTTCCACTGCTTTCACGGAACTATATGCGTACATCAATTCTTAACACAATGATAGCACACATAATTACAAGCCTCTGTGATCAGATCTAATTATCAGGATTACACAGATGATCACATTCGATATTGTCATCTGTAAATGTTTTTTTTTTTTATTGTCTCACTACATTTACTTCACATAAAGACTGCCTTGTCATCTGTTGCTGTGTTATTCTTCCCCAAAGCAAAGAATAGGCCATATTCAGTGAATACAATTGCTCAATTTGCAACTATCTGAACAAGTTATCACGAAAAAAATACGTCTAATAAAAGGGTCTAATAAACTGTACATATCCGCAGGTTTAGATGTAGAAAGTTTCCAACTGGAGCAATGTTGCTATCTAGAGCACAGTCCTCGGTCCACTGCCATGGCATATCAAAAGTTTACTACTGTTCATCAAAGCTATGCATCAAAAAAAGTAGCCTCTCTGAGCCAAGAACAATCGGGGGGCCTGGCCGACTGCGAGGGACTGAAACTTTCTCGACTAATGCCTGTGGGTTCGTGCGGGCATCAACCCCAGACTTGAGTACAGAAGTGACAATGTGCTCCATATTTCTCATCAGATATACACAGGGTTGGGAGGGTTACTTTGTAAATGTAATAAGTTACTGATTACATGGCTCTGGAAGTAATCCGAATACAGTTACAGTTACGTGTCTTAAACATATTCAGATTACTTTTAGATTACTTTCTTTTTCCATCACAGATGGGTATGTGTTGGTGAACAGGAGACACAAAAAGCTAAAGGAAACTGAACGTGTTTTTACTGTTTTAATGGCGTATCAAGAGCACAACTGAAACATAACATCTGAAACGATGTAACAACATAATAAACTTTTTGGGGATGCAGCTTGGGATGTGAGGAGTGAGGGACACGGCTTAGAACGGTACCAGTGTTAACAGGACATTAATTAAAATGTCGAACTCAGAGTTCATTTTAAGGACATTTCGGCCAGGGGTGTAGAGCTATATTTGTTTAAGCACCGGATCGGTAAAACAGGAGAGTGTGTGCACCAGTCTGCCTTGATCTATGTATTCATGTCGGTGACACTCACAGTATCTGCTGCCCGCAGCTGTTTTGTAGAAGGAAAACCTCCTTCACTTCATGAAATCTCTGCAGCACCAGGAGGCAGCGGGAGGGTGAACTCAGCCTCTGAGAAGAGGAGCGCGCAGTGCCTTTCACGCACCGCCTTCCCTGTGTTTACCTTCAGAATCATTAGAAAGGCTAAAGGGCGACCGCAGGCTGATGTGTTTTAACCACACACACCTCTACACACACACGATTTAAACGCAGACTTTTGTTCCTCCATGTTTTGTTGTTATTGTTTCACTGAGCGGACCCGCACAACGTTTCCTTTTTTGGTCCATCTGCGGCGGTAATAGGTTTTGTGCGCTGTGATGATTCGGCTGTACCTTTAGTAATGAATATTAAATGTTGTGAGGAAATATTTCCACCAATAATTCCAATAAGTAATCCAAAATATATTCACTTCAGGTTTACGAAAGTAACTGTAATCAGATTACTCGTTTTTCAAATGTAACGAGAGCTGAATACAGTTACTTGATTTTTGTATTTTGATTACGTAACGCCGTTACATGTATTCCGTTACAACCCAACCCTGGATATACATGACCTCGCAACAGTAACCCCACATCTGCAGCAATGTATCCTTCCTCTTCTGCCTGTCTCTCTCTATTTTGCCTTGAGCCCCGTCCTCAACTCTATTCAGTCGCTCTTCTCAGGCCTATTCTCAAGTCTGTTCTACTTCCTGTGCCCTCTGACACGATTGCACAGACATGAATCTAATGGCAAAGGGACCTGCTGAAGGCAATCTTATTTTAAACATCATGATTTAAAGTGTTCCTCAATACAAAAGTCATGTTAAAATGTATGAAACCTGGAATATTGGTTACATGAATTTGTCTTTTAGAATCACTCTTTAACTGGACATGTCTTTGGGAGTTCAGTATCTTGACCAAGGTGATGCTAGTGGCTGAAGATCGAACCACTGACCCTACGAGAATTTATAATATTGGTAAAAGACTGTTAATTGCTTTATTGTTGAGCCACAGCCAATAAGGGTGGCTGTAGCTCAGCAATAAAGCAATTGTCCTTTCTCAGGGATGATCGTCGTGTTTTAATACAGGTATAGAAACAATCATTCACACTTACACTAATGGGTATTCCCCATAGGTGTCCCCAGTCCTCTGATGTGCTTGTCCTTGGACAGTTAGAGGAAACTGGGACACCCAGAGGAAACCCCAATGGACTCTACACAAAAAAGGACAGAGCTGTGCTTATGCAACAGTGCAAACAATAGAGTGGTGCAGGGATGACGTATTTACCCGGAAGTAAGCTGCGCTTGGGTTCCCTCGACAAAAAAGCAATGGGATTTCTCCATAGGATTTAGGAAAATAGCTCGAAATAAGGTCTGTGGAAAACGAAGCTGTTTGATGAAAGCACGTTTTGTTCAGCCGCATAATATCCACATGTCTACCCTACTTTTGTTTTAACAGTTTGCAAGAGTGCAGGTACTTGCTTTCAAGCAGAACAGGGCAAACAAACTTAGCGGGAGTGTTTACGTGTTAGGTGTAATGACGTACAACGTCCTCGACAACTTCTGTAGTCCTATTCAGCCACTTCTTAACAACCATCGTTTTTCAGACGCGTAAACTCTTCAAGAATCACCAGTGGGGTCGCTGTTGATGGATTTAATGTCGTAGAACAAAAACGGTGTGTCGGCGTTGTTCGACAGCGGTGCGGTACGCTAGTGGTAACACATCAAACATGCTCAATCACATCCGAGTCAGTCTCAGTCCCCAGCTAGAGGGTTTTCTCGACGGCAGGTGACATAGTTACCGCGAACAGATCTGCCCTCACTACTGACAACGTAGACAAACTCATCTTTTTGAAGCCTGCGCTGCTGGCTTCCTCCAAGTTTACAGTACAACTGCTACACACCACTGCACAATTCCGTTGTACAGACCGACGTTAACAGCAGCCCTTTTTTTTCTCTCCCGCGGGGGGGGGGGGGTCGAATAATCGATTATTATTCGCCAGGGCTGTCCGATTTTCGATTTTGATCATGGTCAGTTTCTGGCATCCCTAGTTCAGAGTATTGAAGACAGGTAACTCACATCACATTTAAGTCAAAAGTCGCTGAGAAATTGTCCGATAACAGTTTCAGAAACCTCAATAAGGCAAACCTGTCAAGCTTTGGATTTCTTCACGTGAAGAGTTGGTGAGAGCTCATGAGAGATGATTTGGAGGGCACGTTAGCATGTCCGGCTTACTATCTTACAACCTACCATGGTAACCCATGATGACTTCCAAGTGAATGGATTACATGAAACTACTTCAGTTTGTGTCTGAAACAGCTTTATCTTCAGTCATACCATGTATGAAGCCATCAAGTACATAATTAGGTCCCCAGTTACACGACTAATTTGAAAAAGGACTAGTCATTTGCAAACATAAAAATCTGAGCCAGAGACAGCTTTTCACTCATATGCAGCAGCCAATGTTTAATGCTTAATTAACTTGCGCTGATCAAATCTGCCAAGAACAGTTGTCATTCCAGAGAGTAAAATGAACGATTGCTTATTTAAAACCATAAGGGCACTACGAGAGCAGAAACCTCCTGACAACGCCAAATGCCCTATCACAGAAAATAATATATGTATGCGCACTGTGATTCTGACCGCTCCAATATATAATGGGTTCTTTTTTGCACCATGCTACAGTCTAACGCCAAATTTCATAAAATCAAGCCAGTCGTTTTCCGAAATAGTGAGACAACAAATACCCGAACCAAAAACAAAACCTCCTACAATTTTGAGTAGTAAATCTGCCTTGTTGTCATTGAAAACAGCATTATTTTTACATAGAACATTAACTAAGGGGGTGGGGCTAAGAAAACAGTCCCATCAGGTAACACAGCCATACACACACACACACAAAGTCACATTGTGTTCACGTTTCAGTCAATTAAACTGATACCAATCAAAACGGGTGATCATAATTTACATTTTTCCTCCATCAAGCTGACACACATACAACCAGCATGACCACACACACAACTACTACACACTGTATCTCATGGCTTTGATAAATGAATAATGAGGCCATTCTATGCACGATTGCAATATACAAAGGCCACTGCTATGACCTCATTCAAATGAAGCCAAATGTCGGGTCAAATTCACCAATCAGCTCCTTTTCAGCAGACACAGAACTGTCACATCCAATTAAGCACTTGGACACACACACACACACACACATGCTTGTATGTGTACACACAACACCATGTATCTTCACATTCATATTCAGTTTGCAGAGACGATGAATAATCCATCCACTTCACTCTCATTTCTTTGTGTTAAACAGCGATAATCAAGCGATAATCACTTAGTCTCCAGCGATGACACCGTATTTATTTTTCATCTCCGCTCAATCGCTCATCCTTCATGCAACAGTACGTGTGGGCGCTCGCTAGCTGGAAAGCACCCGAGCCCCCCTCATTTCAGCGTTGCCTCTCGAACACGCAGACGAGCATATGCACACATTTAATGAACACACATAATGAATGATTAACCAGTGGCAGCACAAGTGCAAGTTTAACACACACACACACACACACTGCTCCTGCAGCGCAGGTAAGAGAACAGAAATGGGGAAATAGGGATTGCTGTACCTTTGTTTCTACCTACAGGTTTTCGGAGAGGTGAAAGGATCCGAGGAGGGTAAAAGAGGGAAGTGTCATCCCGCGCAGAGCACCAAGAGAAAGACAGCAAAAAGTGGGGATAAGCTATTGTTATACTACCAGACACTGCTAAATGACACTTTCATGCAAAATGTTGACAATCATGCAAATGGTAGAGAAATGGAAGAACAGTAAGCAAGCAGCACACAACTTACAATTGACAGTTTACAGCTCATTTCCTCATCTTTATCCAAGGTCACACCAGAAAGAGGCAAAGCACCACTTTTAAGATGAGAGGGATTTGATGCTTGGTGAGTCTTTGAAAGTGAGGCCACTCTTGGTCGTGGCTACTTTTGTTGGCACAAAGAGAAAGGCTCATTTGACCTTGCTTGGTATTCAGAGGAGGCGATATAAGGTCATGAGGAAAAAGGTTTTAACCAAAGCTAATAAAATAGCTTTCTAAACTGTGGAACCCTAATCAAAAGGTCAGCACTGTCAAGACCGTTTAAGGCTAGACAAGTTAGAAAATTAAGCAAATTGAACATTTCCGGGCAAAATGGTAACGATATAAATGCTGTGTCTATCTATACCTGGATTTATAAATATAAGTGCATATAGAGGTAGAGGGGGGGCCCGGTTCATTCCAATAAAAGGTGCTCAGTTTTGCGTCCAAAAATACTCAAATCTTGGCCAATGGAGCATGAGTTCTTGCATTTTCCTTAAGCCCCGCCTCCAATTTGCTCTGTCAAAGCCAGCGATCTCTAGATTTGGCTTCTAGCACATTTGATAACTTTTAGGACCTAATTTTTGTAATAAAGGCAAGTGTTTGTAATATGAAGTTGATAGGCCGGCTAACAGACGTCGCCTACCTAATGTTACTCAATAGGAGGGTCTTTTTAGGCCCAAAATCACTTCTTGGGGGCTTGCATCAATCCCCCAAACCTTCAAAATGCCTTCACCCTTTACAACACTACTTTCTATGTTGGCACAGGGTGTAAATATTGTCCAATATGATATAACTCCTAGGGATACTAAGCTGTTTCTTCCACATATACCTTACCGTACTGTGGGACACTTTTTGTTCCTTATTTCCCCCTCTATATCTCCCATTCGTTTTCCTCTAAGCTGTCTCCCCTCATTGCAGTGATTTCCTTATCCTCCCTCCTGCTTCTCATCCTCCCCCCCTCCCCTACTCTGTCGCTGCAGAGGTCGAGCTGGAACAGTGGAGTGTGTCACTGCATGTTAGCTGTGGAACAGTACAACATTATGTAATACACAGAAAACTGGGTGAAACGAGGGTGAGGAGACGCCTAAAGAGAGACGAAGGTGAGGTGAGGAACATGCCATGCAACGCACACAAACCCTCCCACTTCTCTGCAGCAACAATGGGAGTATTGCAACACACAAATGCACACGGACAGGTAGCGAAGGCACATAGCGTCACATAAAGCCACAATACCAAGCCAGGCAGCGAGTCAACACAAACACAAACAACCATAAGGGCAGAATACCTTGCTCTGCCTTCAGGTGTGCGAGGCCTTGAGGAGAGAATTTCAGAGAGGCACAGAGAGAAGATGTTCAGAGTAACACACCAATACTGCAGTTGTATTGTCATTATGCATGCTTTGCTTTAATGGCAAACCATGGCTAAATCATCACACTAAAAGTCAAAGCTTTCCCAAGTGCATGTAAAAAGCTTTCTCTAGAAACAGACTAATAAAGAGAGCAGCACAGTGTGTGAATATCAAGTAGCTCTGCAGGTTGTTAACTGAATACATGTCAATTAGAAATGACATAACTGGATTACTTGTACATTTCTGTCTGCCTTAATGCATAAACATAATTTAAATGACACCTATAAAAGAAATGAACAACATTTGGTACCATTTCACATAACTACTCTTTCTTGAGACTCACCTGGTTTTCTCTGGACTGCTGTGAATCAGGAAAAGAGAGAAAGAAGAGAAAAAGTCCTAAATTAGCAACACACACCAGCTTCGTTTGCATGTGGATCTATCATGCAAAACACACTTCTAAGCATTGTGCTACATGTAAGGACCAAAGAGGTGCCCCTTGACATGCCTGATCAGAGATAACCACTTAATCCCTGTGGAGAGAAACACGTACACATTGCATCTGTCCCGTCCTCTCAGGGAATCAGATTGACATATTCCACTCTTTCACATTTTCGAATATTGTTAGTGACATAATATTCTGCTACTTGTATCACACAGAGTGCCTCACACACATTCAAAGGAAGACATGAATCCAGGAGGATTTATGGTGTTGTGAGGTTTGTGGATGCTCCTTCAAACAGACCCATATCCTTCTCCTCCATCTTTTGTGTGCCTTTAACCCATACACTCAATCTTTTTTGTTACACTGCTGACCCAAATTCCACATGGGGTTTCTCAGGGGAATGCTCACTGTTGGATTTCTGCCGATCACAGCATGGCGTGGCAACACAAAAATTGCCATAGTGTGAACAAATAAAATAAGCCACACATTACATTTCATCCCTCGCGGCAAACATGCTCAGCAGGATCTCACCCGTGGATGACACCTTGTGGTTGTCAAACATGTCTGATTTAGGCCACATCAAAGATCACTGTGTGCACTCAGTGGTAGTTAGGAGTTTTTACCCAGCATCCTACCTTAGTTTCAAAACCTGGCGCTGTAGCCTGAAATGAATATTAATATATTGTGATTTAAGAGGCTAGGGCTTCCCGATTTTGCAAAAAAATGACTTTCCAGTAGTATTGAAATATATTGCTTTTTGATTTGCAGTGTTGTATGAGGGAATGATATTTTTTGGATGAATATGTTAAAAATGATCACGGTGGGAAGAGCATCTGTTCAAAACAAGGATTTATTTAATAATTGTTTTAAGGTCTAGTCTTTAGAATACAGGTTAGGCTACCACAATATTTAACAAAAAATAATATTTTAAAATATTGTTCCTTTACTTGCGATTTGGATATTGCACTCTAAAACATTGATTAAGACACATTTTAAAATATATCTTAATCAATATGGACTACATTAGATCATTCAATCGTCTGTTTTAATACAGAATATCTGATATGATTTGACTGTTTTGATCTCTGCAGGCTTTAAAGAGGCTTGGCCTGTATTCCACCACTGGATATGAATGGTTTTCCTCTCCAAAAGCATTTAGTCCTTGGAACATTTTAGGATTAACTCAACCGAGGACATACATATACCGTTTGAGAGGAGGCGCATAGAGACAATACTGCAGAAGGAGTCGGTGAAGGAGAGGCAAGGTCTCCTTTGGGGAGTCTAAAATGGCTGCTACTTCTCCCATAAGAATAGGATGACATTGGGAGAGGCAAGGGAAGGACGAAGCATGGAAGAGGGGGGGGAAGGGGAGGTAGTGGCCAGCTGATGGACAGCGGCGCAGCTCCAGCACTCGAGAACGCATGAGTACCCCTCAATGTATGCCCTCTAATGATCAAGTGTTTTGTTCTGACTGTGCAAATGCTCTATAAGTGTGCCTGTCTGCGTGTTAAACGCTCACTTTCCCCATGTAGATAAAGCCCTTTCCCTTGATGGGAAGCGCCCAGAACAAGCCAATGTGCCGCTGTGGACATGTGGTCCGAGCGTAATCCCCTGCTCTATTTTACCAGCAGCTTCACCACTCAAATCCAAACATCATTTTCAGCTTGGGCACTAGACACAAATGCCCTCTGCACTGGAATCAGGCAAGTCCCTGCACCATTTTTTCCATTTGTTTTCCCCCTGACCTACTTTTTATAGTAAGATTATTGTAACTGTCATTTCCATGTCTGTTTATTAATCCCCAAAGCTAAGCCTGAAGGCACCATTTTAGCACTTGCTTAACAGTTTGCTTGCCCTAGCCTTCAATTACTAGCCTTCCATCAAACCAGTGAATATGTTTTTAGCAGATGGGGCCTTAAAGTGTTCATTACGAATGCAGGATGTGGAAACTGGAGATTCTTTTATATTCATTAAACAATCCTCTTAATAACCTTGACCTTATGCATAACTTATTGTAAGTAGAAAACCCAAAGGTATTCGGGAGACTTCATAATGTCACCCCAGTTAATTGAATTGAACCGAATGAGGGTATCCAGATCATTACCATAAAAGAAACTGATATTTGCACAGTTAATGACAGGGTCCGAATCAAGTTGATATTAAAGATGACTCCGCAGAAAGACGTATAACTTAACAGTTTGCCTGCTATGGCGGACACGTGTGGAGTGGGAGTGTTGAGTGGTGTCTAATTTCAGCTCGTTGCCCTGACACAGTTAGTCACACAGATACATCCTGATCCACCAGGGAGGGGAGGCTGAACATGTGTTTTATGGCCGACTGTTTGTGGTGCTATAAGCTGCTATCCGAGATGGAGGGTTTGGGAAGAGGCTCTTAAAGAGACAGGACTGGAGAGTCGACAGGATGATAGGCATACAACTACCACTACAACCTAAATTGTTTATATTAGGAATGTATGCAACTCTGCCTATCGTCCATGCTAAGCGCCTTGTTGGAAAAGGCCGAGCTCGGGCCATTGGCTCAGGGAAATGACTACCTGTCTGTCTTTGGAGAAAATCATATATATTCTAAAAGAAAAGTATTATTGATGATATGTCTGAAGCAAAGAATAACAAAAGAAGTAACATTTATTTTTGTGAACATATTTTTGTATTTGATATTATTATTTATAATTATTATTGTCACTATATTTTTTAATATATTCATTTTTTTTATTATTATTTCTATGATGTGTATGTCTTTGTCTCAATGTGGTAAATGTATACAAATAATGGTTCGAAAAAGAGGACTGAATTGATGATGTCACAGCAACTAGCTACTGTTTGCCGTGATGTAACACATGCACAATAGAAATGTGCAACCAGTGTAGGGATGGATGTCCTTTAGCACAAACATGCTCCAGCCTGCATCCACATCCCATTTCCTCATCTCACATGTTCATTCTGCCGACTCCTCATATTTCCCTTCTAGGCCAGTAGGCTAGCAGGCTACCATTAGCAACACGGCTGGCGAAAAGCTTCCAAGGCCCAGTCCACTCAGTCAGTCAGCCATCTGCCCGTTTTAACGAGCGGCTCCGGGGCTTGTTGCTCTGTGTCTATGTGTGCGTGTGCGCGTCTCTAAATGTTAGTGTGCATGTGCTGCTGCGGCCATGCAACACGATAATGTAACGTATGAATATTCACAGGTTTGACGGATCGCTTTCATTGCTCATTAATAAACTTCTTTATCTACAGTATGCCGACAACACAGGTGTGCTGAGCAACTGTTCGCCTAACTGCAACCAAATAGAGATCATTGAGAACATCCCCTGAAAACATTAAGTGCTGGAGGGTTGCTTGAACAACAAGTATTATGACACTTGCAGACATGTGGACATAACAATTAAAAAAGAAACTGCGATAGTTTGCCGATAGACAGTCTCAGTACTGTTTGTGCAGGCGTTTTCTGGGCGGATGAGCCATCTCTGCTCTCATTATCCTCCTAATTATGGTTCAGTGTCTCTGTGGCATAATCAACATCAGCCACATCAGTTAATGGGGAGGCAGAGAAGAGCAGACTGATCAGCTGGGAAGCTAATATGACTTCCTGGGATGCCCTTTTATAGCTTGCGAACAGAAGAAAATGGATGTGCAGATAGAGTGGTGCGGTGATGACTTATTTCTGTAGGCCAACCCTGAAGTTAGCATCAAAAGCGCTCCTCGACAAAAAGCTATGGGGTTTTTCCATTGGATTTTGAAATATTGCAGAAAATCTAATCTGTGGCAAACACGTTTATGATAACGTTTCAGCAGAATAAACTCCACATATTAGCACCACTGTATTTTTAAGTGTAAATGCTATTGAAAGAAGTAAAAAGCTAACGTTAGGCTATGAACATACATCACAGTTGCACTTGTGTTTGCGGTGATGACATTTAGTATTCAGTTTGTGTTAGCAACCGCCATTTTAAGTGAGATAGAAACTTTAGAAATGCACAAGTTCTTAAAACAAAAACATTTCTTTAGCTTGGTTATCCACAGACATTATTTCAAGTGTCTGAGCAAAAGCACTGCATTTGAAACGATCGTGCTAAAATGCAAACTCATTTCTGGGTTTTGTGACTCATTCCTGCACCACTCTATAGATGTGTGTGTGAGAGGGAAAGGAGGTGGGCAGGGGGTCGGTTCTTCCTCCTGGGTACAAATGAAGGTTACAACAGGCCTGTGGTGAAGGCACTCGTCACACTTGCTTTGCCCCAGGCTGAGATGTGACCGTGTCTTGCACTGTCCAAGCTGTCTGGCTGAGTAGCAATGGCACTCCTAGAATCGTGGTTGTTTTAACAGGAGGATGTCATAGCTCCCCTGTCAGCTCTCAGGAAGCTCTGAGACAAATAGACCTCCTCCTCCTCCTCCTCCTCCTCCGTCCCCTCCTCCATCCCCTCCTCCTCCTCCTCCTCCTCCTCCACCCCCTCCTTCATCGACAGAGGCAATGAGCAAAGGGGATGAAGCGAAAGGGGGGCATGTCCAGTCCGTCCGCTTGACTGCTCTGCAACCAGCACATCGCGTGCTGTCCTGAACAATGCCACAGGCTAGAATGGGATTTAAGCTCCAAACAGCTTCGTTTGAGCAGCAAACCATGAGGCACGTTACGAAACTAAATAGAGCAAAACCGCTGAACGGAAATCTGAAGATGCTTATTTCTAAATGCATGATATATCATAGCACGTAAGGGTATCAGACACAGTTTGAAATAGCTCGCAAACAGCGCTATAGGATTCAGTGAGCATTCCCATGATCTTTGGCAAAATGGAGTCATCCCTTAGCCATGTCAGTGTACTTGGCAGGAAGTGGGTCAGCAGTGGAGGAAATTTGACATGGGTCTGTTCACACAAAAGGTTATTCTTTACAGTCCAAACACATGAAGAAAAGGTGTGTAAGATCAAAGTGAAAATGGGTATTCTTTGGTTTTCTAGAAGCAGTACCGGGGTTATTCTCTTTGTCAAATTGAGCCCAAGGCTATAAGCAATGGCATGTTCTGAAATATGTAGGTTTTCAAATTAAGTAGGCCTTGACCAGCAGCACAAAAAAAAGTATTTGGAAAACAATGTATTTCCTGGAGATGTAAGGAAGCAAATTAGACTTTTACTCTGCATAATGTCCCTCTTAGTATACATACATATTAGCCTAAAAAACTAGCATCCCTGTGTCTTTAAAAGGTGTGGAGAAGAAAGGAACATTGTCGAAAGAGCTGCATATCATTACACTCCCCAAAAAAAGAGATGACCTTGGCACAGAAGCAGAGGAAAAATAGATAGAAGTTATTTCTCATCCAAACTGTGTGTACCTTCAGGTCCCTGCACCACCTTGAAGGAGCTGAATACATTTGATGGAGAAAAGGAGAACCGAGTGCTGTCATTTCAGTCATATCAGCTAATCCACCGTATTCTCATGAAAAGTAATAACTGTGAAGGCAGAGGAAACGCTGAGCACATCAACGCCAATTTAACTCCTGCATGAAATACTTTCCAAAAAGAAGCTGTGAGAGCAACAGCCTATACAGATTCTATATCCTGTGTATGAGGCATTACAGCATTCAAATACATGTGAGTATAGCTGCCTGTGCTTCATGTAAACTTGAGTAAATGCTACATGGCAATCGATGCACGTTTTACAAAGCGTTTCATAAATAAAGTTTGGAAATCTCATTCAGCACTCATTTTGGATGGAGCAAAACACATTATGTTTAAAGCCGCTCAAGATGAAATTATTTTTACTTTTTAACATCTAGTGAAAAAAGCAAATATGAGGTGTTAAAATATTTTTTGTAAGTCTTTACCTGGAGGCATTCGGCAAAAGCTGCCATCGGGTCAGTTTTATATTTGTAAGGAACCCCTGTGAATTCTTTTTTTACAGATGGAAATCAATATTCAGCGCTTGACACAGAAAGCTCTGGACCCAGCCCCTCTTACCTTCTGTGCAGTATCGACCCACATATCCCGTTCTGGAGCAGTCACAGTAGGTTTCTCCATCTGCCAGCAAGCAGATCCCGCCATTCTCGCAGGGGTTCTCCGTGCAAAGGCCCATCATCTCCAAGCGTACCTTCTGACTATTGATGAGCGTTGGCAGCTTACTTCCATAAACAAGGTCTGTGATAATTCCCTTGAATGGTGGCAGCTCACGGACAGAGGGCAGGGTGATGGCAGATGTGCGGATGTCTGCTGGTAGCCCTCCCAGGAAGAGGTCGCTAACGATCTTCATGAAGCGTCTCTGGGGCCGCACGTCTTCCGTCTTGGTGTGGCCATCCACGGCCAAGCCTGTCCTCAAATTGTGCCTGTTGATGGCGGCGAAGTGCCAGCGGCTGTCGTTGACCATCTTGTCCGAGGTGATGGTGGTCTCCGCGCAGTCAATGCTGATACCAAGCTGTAGCTTACCCTCGGATACGGCGAGAACTAGGAAGTCGCAGTAGCCGCCGTCGTCGAAGTACATCATGAGGCCTTCTGGTTCGGAAGTCTTGAACTGAAATGTCAGGTCACTTCTGGAGCTGGCGTCCCAGCGCAGGTAGCGAGCCCACTGACCTTCAGAGCCAGTAAACTCCAAGCCTACGCTCAGGCCCAGCACGGTACTTAGCAGCAGGAGGACATGACCAGGCAGGCTGTTGGGATTCATCGTAGAGAGTAACAGGATGTACCAGAAGACGTTTAAACTGGGGATAGATCCTCAAAGTGATAATAACATCTGGCTGAGCTCCAGGGTTTATCTGATGAATGTTATATTCCACGTAGATAAATTTACAGTTAAGCCGAGAAACGCAATATCCGGTTTTTTTTAATTTATGAGGCAGATCTAAGGTTGATAATGGACGGAATGTAATTTTCTCAGCCAAGTCGATTCAGAGATTTGGAAATATATCCAATTTCCACACAAAGTGGACAGGTGAAAGTGCAAGGATGAAGGTGATCCTTAAGGAGCTTTGTCAGTGATTCAGAGCTGCATCTTGGGATTTTTCTTTCAGACGACTACCTGGATTGAAGCACATGACCTTCATCGTTGGTCCGGTTCCGTGACCCATGGTTTGACCTCCAGCTTCGGACACACCTTTGACAAAAATGCAGAAAAAAACAGATCAATTTAAGGTAAGACAAGGCAAGTGCAAGTGCTTTACAAAAATGAAAAACATTCAAACAAACAAGAGAATTATTTAAAGTGGACCTATTATGCTATATTGGACAAATATATTGTAGGGCCATACCTATACAAAACATGTCTGTGAAGTTTTTTTTTCAAAATACCAAACAGATCACCCATTGTAGCCATACCTCATACTAGGGCTGTGCAATTAATCGTATTTTAAATCGCGATTACGATTATGGCTTGCGACGATTATGAAAACTGCATAATTGACAAAATACGATTATTTTGCTGGGTGCGCTTTCGCCCCTCCCTAAAAGCCCACTCGGCCACGTGGGAGTGACATGTGTTGTAAGTGTTCAGCGAGAGCGAAGATGTCAGAACAAGAGCAGCAACTCGTTAAAAAGAAGGGTAAAACTATTTCCACTATTTGCAAGTACTTTGCCATTACATTTCACATCGCTAAAGATATGTGCCCAGTTAGCACTGTTAGCAACCAGGGCTTTAAGCAACTTGTTAACACGTTGGACAAGCGTTACGCAATGCCGTCTCGGTATTATTTCAGCAGGTCTGCGCTGCCTGCGCTATGTGACAAATGCCGTGGGGAAGTTGAGAGAGATGTGGCTTCAGCTGACTACTTTGCTACCACAACAGACCTATGGTCTAGCCCAGGGGCGCCCAACCAGTCGATCGCGAGATGTGTCTAAAAATAGAACAACAATATTCTGTTTTATCGTTAATGTCCTGTAACATAATCTTCCTGTGCCAGAATAATGCACTTGAACGCATCAAAGCTTTGTGATTGGCCGGCGTCACATGTGTCGGAGCGTGGCTGAGGGTCTTCAGTACAGGTGGCAATATCGTCACCTGCCTGCGCTCATCTCTGAAACCAGACCATGTAAACAGGCTGTTGTTTCTTGCAAAAAATCTTTAAGAGATGACATGAGCAGCCCTACCAGCATTTGCCATGGTGGCCTACATTTTTTTTTATTTGGTCTTAAATTGTAGTTCAACATTTATTTCCTGTTACTTCTGGACCATGACGGTTGGCCAGCCTGAGTGGAATATGTTGAATATGTTTTACCAAAATGTTGGCTATATGTTAAAGAGTTTTCAGTAGGTTGTGACAGTGCACTGCATCATATTTGATTTAATTTATTTTGGTCCAATTTATTTTTATTTATCATATTAATAATATATGTTTAGTATGGTTTTGGAAGTGCACTCCAACATATTTGTTATTGTTTATTGGTAAAATATTATTTGTTTTAAAGTTCAATAAATGGTCAATGAATAATCGTCAAAATAATCGTGATATCAATTATTGACCCAAATAATTGTGATTATGATTTTTGCCATAATCGCACAGCCATACCTCATACTGCTCATACCCCTCTTTTGCAGCCCTGTTAGAGAAACGCTGATTTTGGGTCCTTAGCTTGATAAACAAAAGAGGAGGCGGAGCTAATGCCTGACCAGAATTCTACCGGAGATAAAGTTAAATTCTGCTGTGATAAAACGTCATCCTGTTCTAAACCACATAAAGGATTATTTCTGAAACAGTATGGAGCTCAAATGTTCTTTCTCTTGCGGGTTTATCACAAGGTGAGTTCCTTTTTTTATTTCCTACTTTTTAAAACACGTGCGCTCTCCAGTACAGGTTAGCTCTGAGTGTTAGCGATTTGACGTCAGATCGGCAGCAAATCTGTATCCGCTCGTTGTACCCCCGTTTTTAAAAGATTTGGGTACGGAGGAAAAGAGAAAGGGTTTTATTTTTTGATGCTGCGTGAGTTCCCCGACACACCGGGGACACTTTATGTATAAAAGACATAAAAAAGTGAATTTTGCATGATAGGTCCCCTTTAAGCAAGATAATAAGGATTTTCAATGTCAGTTGGCATGAAAAGGTGCCACCAGCAGCTAAACTAAATATGTGGTTTGCTTACAAATCAATCCCAAATCGATATAATGCTATTTATTACAGTAGCTATGCAAACAAATTATAGGCAGCATTTTGTATTTTTCTTACATAATATTAGGATATTTGAGTGAAATGAAGTCAGTATCAATTAAATATGCTCTTTAAATTAAGAGAAATCAGTATTATGCTAGTAAGTAAAACATTCAGTAGTGCTTTACAGATGGGCAAAATCATGACTGTGAGTTCACATCATCACTAAGAGGGTATTGAGAGCACCACTCAATGTAGATTTGGCTCTCCATGTGGCCATAAATACAACAAAATAACCACCAATAACCCCAATTAAAGTATTACGAGCATTTAAAGCAGGGGTCTATTTATACCAATTAAATTATCATATAAGTGGTAGCACAACACACACATTTAGCAGAGGAAAGAAAGTCGACTGTGAGGAGTGAAAATCCATTGAGGTGAGCCAGAACATGTGTTAAGCCTCTCCCCAAACGTTAGCCTGCTATCAGTAAAGGTCTGCTGGGATCCTGATATGACTAATTATCCACCGCCACTTTCTCTCTCATTTGCATGTCTTTGAGGTATTACAATCATAAACAGCTATTGAAAAAGATGGTAGGATCTTACCGCTTCACATGCTATCACTATTAACATTTTTAAAAGGTTCTTCCAGTGAATTCAAATGATTTCCATCACTAAAACAGGGATGACACTGGTATGGAATATTAACTAGCTACACCTGTTCTCACTCAGTTCTATTTAAATTTGCTCAGCAGAGCTAGAAATGATTCACATGGCGAAACCTTATATGTGTGTGTACTCTTCCAAGCCTTTGCCCTTGCAATTGTTTTGGCAGCGGGCTGCCCACCAGACAAATGCATTGTCCAATCACGACAGTAGCAGAACCATGCAACACAATAGGGCCTTTAACCACCTGCCCTGAATAGTTAATCTTGCTGCAGCAGGCGAGCTATTGAATTCTAGTAACTGATACCTATGCTAATAAACTGTGTGTGCACGCATGTGTGTCCCTGTGCAGGAGTGTGCATGTGTCTCTCTGACAACACAGGGTAGCCTGGCTGGATAATTGTCTTTGTCTTAAAAGTGACTCAGTGAGACAGCAGAGAGGTTAAAAGGTTCTGTGTGGTGGAAATAACCCTGAACGCAGCTGTGTCAATCAACTCACCAAATAGAGATGTGTCTTGTGTGTGTGCCCCTTCAATAAGCAAAGCTTGATCTGCCCGTGTAACCCGAGACTCCAGTCTCGTATGAACATTGGCCCTGGCCTCTATTCAATTAACACGAGTTATTGTGTGTATTGCCTAACTGAGGCATCAGGTGTCCCTGTGAGCCATGCATGTGACAGAGAATGCTAACAATGCTAACATGTTCTCGATTAGTTAACTAAAGCACTCAAGGGGACTTATTTCCTACAGTGTAAGAGTGATAAATACGTCACGTAATTCACCGTAAAAACAACATATTAATTAAGAAATAGCGCTGTTTTATATTCATTAACTTGACAAGACATTTGACACGCTGAAAACCCTGTTAATGACCTTACCCTCCAACTTAGCCTCTTGTCAAAACTGTCCACCAGCTAGCTGGCCTGCAGGCTAAGCTAAATGCGGCTATCTGGTAAAAAGTGAAATTTCACACAGGCTAGTTATGAAACATGCCCTTTAGCTAGCCCACGCTTGATAGCACCTTTAGCAGTCCACACTCTGGAGGGCTAATGAAGAAGCTATTTTTGGCTACTGTTGGTAACATTTGTGTTTAATTAGCATACACTTGTTTTTCTCTAGTGGTTAAAAAAAAAAGGCCAAGCATTTGAGAGTGGAAAGGCATATCTACCTTGGTGTCCTGGACCCTCAGCAGCAACGTTAGCTAGCTCATGTTCTTGATAGACAATAAGTATGCTACAATAAGCATATTTCCCGGATATAAATATGCGTTGAATTATTAAACAGAGCAGGATATGAGATGACCTGCACGGGATACCGTCACTAACTGTCCATAAATTATGCATTCAGGCTCAGTGTTGAAGAGTTATTGACATGTTTTGTAATAAACTAGCCCCCATCACGCACTGGATCCCCCCCTGTCCCAACTCTGCTCCCTGTCCATCACAAACTTCAGCCCGGAGGAACGATTTAATCCGACATCAGTCACAGCAGACAAGATCCTGCATTAGGGAGTGTGTTCAGACCTGCTGGTTGAAAAGTGAGGTTCAGGGTCTGACCAAGCGGTCAGAAAGCAAAAAGTGAACAATTTACTAGCCAATAAAACTTTCTTTTCAGGGTGTGCTTATTTATCACTTGTTATGTCAATATAGGCCTATGTCATCATTACATTTAACCACCAAATCGAAATCAGATGGTTACAAGGGATGAATGAAACTAATTTGGGGTGGGGTTCTACACATGACTGATAGTTCTTTCAAGGTGATTTTAACTACATCCAAGCTGCACGACACCGGCTCTTCGTCGTCATATGAATTGACACGTGAGAATCATTCTTTTCTTTCTGTCACCTAATGAGCATCAACATTTTACTACTAAAGAAACAGGCATTTAACCAAACGTTATAAATGAGCAATATAGCCAGCGAAATTGTGCCATATAAACGTTCTTCTTAATATAGCAGCAATCACATTAAACTGGGCACGAAGTCACTTTCAACTCTGCAGTAAGCAGAAGGACAGAAGTTCTGCCGTAATATTAAATTATAGTGATGTTATAGTTTCTATTGAGAGCCTCGTCGGATCTGTCAACCCCTAATATTTATGTTTTCACAAAATGAGTGCAATATAACCAATGTTGGGGTAGCACTAATGATCATGTTGACCAGTTTGTGGATTATTTATAATCTTGATCTAATAGTAAAGCGCTCAAACCGAGTAGAAATCCGAGCCGCAGCCCTGCACCGATGAATTAAACAGCGGACAACATTTTCCAGCTTTCCCTCTGATCCTCGCACGGTGGCAGTCTGACTGTTGCTCAGGGGTTTATAAACCCTTACTCCAAACATTACGAAGCATAATTTGATCAGGAGTCTGGTTAATATTGCCATGAAATTATTTCTGAATCTTAAAGAAGTTCTGGCAGTTTATGCGTTCGTGTTTAAGGTTTAATACACGCACCCAATTCATCGACCTGAAACTTCCCGTCTCAACGCTCTTTCACGACAAATATATTTGTCACCATTTCAGCACCGATAAGTCGTGGTCTCTTGAGATGTGGTTTCCTTACAAATAACCCCGCTGTCATGTGGTTAAACTGCGGTTGCGAGCTTTAAAACTAACCACCGACACCATCCCATTGCGCGTAAATCCACATTGCAGCCCAAACTCATCATCTGATTCACATAAAAGGAATATTTTTGATGAAAAACTTCTGAGTCAAACAACTCAAGTATAGCCTACCTTCACAGAACACCTAATGTATGATGGATGTAAATACAAACTATCGAATAGCTTAGTTTAATGTGCTCTTACCTTTTAGCGCAGAGAAATGATTCCGGACGGATGAAATCTATGGATAAAAATAATAAATAATAACCATCCAAAGGGAAATTCCACCCAGAAGCCGGAGTATTTATAAGTTATAGTCGTGACGGTGAGATGCTGATGCTGGTGATGATGAGGTTATTATAAGTGAGGCGCGGTGGAGGGAAAGGCAGCGGTCCTCCTTCCACTGGCTCAGTGAACGCGCATCTCTCAGCTCGACTCGCGCAACTGATGATGGGCCCCTGGATTTCTCCCACACTGACGCGCTGACCCGCCTTCCAAACAGTGCTCTGCACGGTGGGGAACGAGGTATTCACATGTGAGAGAGAAAAAGAAGAAAAATAGCCCCTGGACAAATGACCACTAGTTCAAATTGTTTATTCTCTATTCTTAGACAGGCTTTTATATGAAGTATGCGGTAAATATAATGTTTATTCGTAGTAAATGTTGATCACATGCTCACAAACTGCATGACAGAGCATGTATATATTTAATTTTCATACAATAGACAATTTTGTATCGCTGAAATGTTAAACAATGTTATTTTAGAACAGTATGAACCCAAAATGAGGAAAACAGTGTGAATATGTGTTGTTTTAGTGTAAAATTCCCCATATGTTCACTTTGAGCAGGCATTGATTGATTGATTGATTGATTGATTGATTGATTGAAAAGATTATTAACAGCTTGTATATTGGGTACAGTACAGTACAGCTCAAAACATACAATTGTTAAGGGGATGCAGACCAGAGAAAGACTTTCGTCTTGTTTACATCAGGGTCCCCCATTTCCAATTCATCATATCATTTAAGACATATAAGACATATTTGACATACAGATGGCTTATTTACAATTTACATACAGGTGGTTTTTTTACATACAGATTGCTTATTTACAATTTTCATTTTAGATTTTGTTCTAATACATCCTAACCGGACATTTAAGACATACCAAGTCTACAGATATACAGTTAGTAACAGAGTCTAAAATGTGAGTATATACATAGATGGGGGGGCGGGGGGAAGCTGTCCATTGAACGACAGGTTGAGATTTGTACCATTACCGGGGCCAGTTTTGCAATGCTCTCCCCTAAGGTCATCAGTTCGGCACCTTGGACAGCATCCGGGTAATTTACATGTTCCCCCAGCAGTTCGAATGTCAGGGAGCTGTCCAAGGTGCTGAACCCTGTCAGGCGTGAAAGAGGCCAGGAGGATTGTATGTAGAGAGGAGAGGAATATGTGCTGTTCCCCACATAGTACCATGACACTTGAAACTGTTCTGTGACATTTCCTGTTATAGGTTGTTTCATTTCTGTATATCAACAACTGAACAAAGGCTTATATGATCACGCTGATCCTGGGTTGTATCACACATTAACATGAATGTGTTTGCATTAGCTGATATTACATTATATTACATGTCACTTGTTAGACGCTTTTATCCAAAGCGACTTACATATTCAATACTGTGGACAACCCCCACAGGAGCAATTTGGGGTGAAGTGTCTTGCCCATGGACACAACGACATGCTGACTGCAGTGGGGTTTGAACCTGTGACCCCCTGATCCAAACACCAACACACAAACCACTGCACCACACGCCTCCTGATATGTTTCCTCTTTCATGCCAACTTGATATCATTGTCCATCACATGGCGTGATTTTGATCCCACCACTTCTTCTACAAGTATCCTTCTGCCGCCACTGATGATAAGTGTTCTTGCTGTTGCATAACACTAATCAAAATACAGTTTTCACAAAGTGCTACAAAAGGAAAATACATAACAAGAAAAACCTCATGCATAATGAGAAGATAAAAGGCAGGAGAAAGAATAATCATCAGAATAAATAGATTGGTAAAAATACAAAAAATATACAATAGTGTGAAAACAAGTGGGTTGAGAAATCTCAGGATTAAAAACATCATAACAAAACCCCATAACTAAGCACTACAGCCAGGGTATTAAATGAGTGCTATGGAACTTAGTCTGGGTCTTGACTTAAGGTCAGTAAGTAGGGTTATGCCTGAGGGTATTGACCTGATCTCCAACTTAAATCTGGGCATCAGACCAAGTTTAAACATCATAAGTGCTTGAAACATATGGCTGGTTGCTAATTCTGGAGACACACTGACTTTTTCTTTGGCACAAATTCAAAATCCTAGCTGATGCATTGATAAATACCTCGAGGCGAGAGTGACTTTTGACTGAGGCAGGACCGGAGGGGGATGAGAAGAAAAGCATCAATGAACTGCTCGTGTTCTGTGAGGAATAAAACATGAACAGACAGCTGAGATCTGGAGAATTATGGTGGTAAAGCAGAAACAAAAAAGGGTTATTTACAAGTGTGATGGAAATGTCAAATAATCTGACACATTGTTTGTTTGTAGCCTTTATTTAACCAGGTGAAAGCCCCTTGAGATCAAAAGATCTCTTTTTCAAGGGTGACCTGCAGGACATTAGTTACACATGTAACATAAAAACAACAGAACAACAATAAGGATGACATACAACATAATGTGCAGGGTACAGTTTACAAACTCTATTTACAGTGACAGGTACCATGAGTATCAAACAGCATGTCACCCAGCTGAGTTTTAAAATGATGCAGGGGAACCAAAGTGCTCAGTTTTAAACATGTTTGCAGACTGTTCCAATTTAGTGGAGCTGCACAACTAAAAGCTTTCTTCCCTAAGACAGTCCTAGCACTTGGCACATTTAATAAAACAACATCATGAGATCTCAGGCAATATGTACTTTCAATTTGTCGAGAGATCAGAGAGCAGATATAAAAAGGTAGTTTACCCAACATGGCTTTGTAAATGAACATGTACCAGTGACTGAGCCTCCGTACAGTTAGTGAAGGCAGACCTGCCTTGGCATACAGGGTACAGTGATGAGTAAGTGCTTTACAGTTAGTAACAAATCTCAGGGCACTGTGATAGGCGGCATCTAACTTTTCCAGGCAATGGGCAGGTGCATTCATATAGACCAGATCACCATAGTCCAGCACAGGTAAAAAGGTCACAGTGACCAGCCTTTTCCTGGCCTCAAGCGAGAAACAGGACTTATTTCTGAAAAAAAAACCTAGTCTAACCCTCAGCTTTTTAAGCAGGTTATTGACATGAAGTTTAAAAGTAAGACAATCATCAAGCCAGATACCAAGGTATTTGTAACAGGTACTTCAAGTACTTGTCCTTGCATAGTAACAATATCCAAAACAGGCTCTGGTGTCTTTTTAGCTTTTGAAAATAGCATTACCTTGGTTTTATCAACATTTAAAATAAGCTTAAGTTCAGAGAGCTGAGTCTGAATAATGTTAAAAACAGCCTGTAATTTAACACCAGCCTCCTTAATGGAGGGACCTGCACAGTACATCACGGTATCATCAGCATAAAAATGTAAAGTAGCTTCATCCACATTTTCACCTAAACTGTTGATATATATGGAGAATAAAAGTGGACCTAAAACAGAACCTTGAGGAACACCATTAGCAATGTTTAACCACTCAGAAGACAGCCCATCAAAGTGAACACATTGGGACCTTTCAGAGAGGTAGTTCACAAACCACCCCACTGCATGGCTGGATATGTCGATACTGAGTAGCCTCTGCTTTAAGATGCGATGATCGACGGTATCAAACGCTTTGGAAAGGTCAATAAATAGAGCTGCACAACTCTGCTTATTGTCTAAAATACTCGTAATGTCATTTACCACTTTCACATGTTAGAATGTAGATCAAATCCAGACTTTCCTCCCCCAATATAAAAACGTCTATGCAAGCCGTTTAGTGAGACCTATTTGTATGTATATTGTGTTGATTCAATACTATGCAATGGACATCCTTATCTCCAGTGAGGTCTTATCATTCAGCTAAATAAAAACATGTGACTCAAAACCCCAAAATATGCAGAGAACAAATGGGATGGGCCTAAAACATGGCCATGTGGTACGACAGAAGCTCCCATAGCTGATATGAACATTATATTAATGCAAATATAATCTTGTTTGTCTACTTTTTTTGTTTGTCGAGTCGGATTACTCTATCAATGAGGTTAATGTGTGCCTCAACAAATATTGTTTATAAAAGTGCTATATACATTAAAGCTCTACTATGTGTTTTACTGCCTATTACCTGAACAACATGAACCATGTTTTTGATGGCAAACTATTGTGTATGTTTCACACTGACTATTTATTAACGCCTCATCTGTCCCATCCATGTGTTTGATATTCAAGCTAATCCAGTGACATTTGAACAAGGTTTTAGGAGCTCATTAAACACAAGTGTGATGAGAAGATCAGCAGCTCTCTAATGAGCAATGGCACATAGAGACAGACGGTATACAGGAAGAGTGGGACAGCTCCATCTCTAGAGAATTCTTTTTTTAAAACATGCAAACAAACATGCATAACCCAATTAACAAAGTATGTTTGACCTCAACAACCCTGACAACCCTGACATACACACCATGGCAAACAAGAGGATTTCTTCTACAAATAAATCACTTACTCTAAGTCAAACACAATGCTGCCTCAAGCACGCTCCCTTTCTCACTACCCCTCTTTCCTCTCTACTAAAAGGCATAATGAATGAATAATTACCCTTTGATAACGTCTTCAAACTGAATTCCACACAAGCTTCTGGTTGACTTTAATAACACCCCAGCTACTTGTTCCGTAAAGATGTAAATGAATATCCAGCTGCCACAACAACTGTTGTAATATTTACAATGTATTTTTCACGCCATGTTGAAAAAGATGTATGAATCATATTCTTATTTCACGGAGAGTGGATTCATACCGTCCCGAGTCATCATGCTGAGCAATTGTGTGCAGCGGTTGTGTGGTACAGCGTTGTGACATGTGAGTGCGCTCTAACATCCGAGACCTGACAGGTCGACCATGCAGCCGGGGTTTCTCACTAGTGAAAGGACTTCTCTTGCTCTTTGGTTTGAGCTCTCACTGGGTTCTTCCTCTCCATCACAGTATGACAATTTACCTGCTCATCATTTCTTTGTATAATCATTTCTTTATATCCTCTATATACTTAGTTGTCACATCCTTTTTCTCTGTTTGCAGACTTACAAATAGCTAACTCCTTCTGACAGCAATCAAGTTACAACTTCTCAACCATTGCTACATGTGAAAGTGGAATGATTATTTGCAATTAAAAGACTTTGGAGTTATCTTTTATTCAAAAT